TAAATAATTAGCTTTTCCAATTAGAAACTTATAAATTTTATTAAGAATAGGGTATCATTTTGGTCCATTTGTATGTTTATTGCTGTCAAGTATTTTTTTTTCATTTTTTTTACGGTTTGATTTTATTTAGCTTAATTTTGATGAGTGGAAGATGAAAGCTTACATTTTGAACTTTAAACTTGTTTAGTACAAATCCATAAATAAGACTAGTTCCACAAAAATCAATTTTTTTGAGCCAACCCGCGAGCCAACCCACTGGCATCATTTCGAGCTAATCCACGAGCTTTTTTTGAGCCAACCCGCGATCTTTTTTCCGACCCAACCCGCGAGCCAACCCTAACCCGGCTTGGGTCAGGCTGGGTTGAGTTTTCTGGCTCGTTTATTTTTTTCGGGCCAACCCTAACCCGACCCATTTTTTACGGGTTGAATGTGGGTTGGGCCGGGTCGAGCCGGGTTGGCCCGTTTTGCCAACCCTAGTTCGAGGACGAACCAGGCAGAAGCTTGTGGGCATGTAACATCTGAGCGCTGACGAGGGCGGCGAGTGATCGCCGGTGTGAAAGGGCATGGACAAAGAGCGGCTCCTGACAGGCTTCCAGCAGGGGGTTATATGCATGAATGAATCGAATCGACACCTGAAATAGAGGGATTCCAAAGACTGTGCAAGTATGAGACTGCACAGTTTAGGATAGCTTATAAGAATTAATTGGTACTACCTATACTAACAAGATGTATCTGCTTTTCGATAGCCTGGAACGGAAGAACTCCACAGTTAAGCGTGCTTGACTTGGAGCAATTCTGGGATGGGTGACCTCCTGGGAAGTTTTCACAGGAAGTGTGCGAGTGAGGAAAAAGCACAGGAAAAAGCACACTGAAAAGTCTTGTGTTAGTATGTGGGGATAGTCATTGATTCTTGAAGCGGCCAGGCATTACACAAACTCTAACCAGAAAACCAAATCATTAGCCATAAGCCATGTCTTGTGATGTTGTTCATATCTAGCTCTGTTGCCAAGCACCGGAATGGGTCATCTCACACCATTCTTGAGGCTATCTTCTTTGCTTCTCCATCACCATTGCAAAGTCACTCTCATCATTCCTCACCCCATTGTCTCACTCTCTGAATCACAACTCTTATCTCTCTTCCACTATTCTTTCCCTGAAGTTAACAAAGTCCAATTTCATCTTCAACCACTTTCCCCTTCAACACCAGACTTTGTTGACCCTTTTTTCCTCAGATTCCAAGCCATTCGTGACACTTCCCACCTTATCTCTCCCTTTCTTTCTTCATTTTCACCTCCCCTTTTTGCTCGTCTCTGATGCCACTTTCATTTCTTCTCTCTTTCCTATCATTTTCATTTTTTCAGGGTTTGGATAATTATTGCCTTATTGGAATTGAATTTTAAAGTCTGCATTCCATGTTGATTAATCATTGAATTTGATATTTATTGGAAATGAAAGGGACTTTTTAATTTAGTTCTTCATATATAGCTGCAAGATCATGAATTTTAATCATTATTTTGTTGATCTATTGCTCTTGGCTAAGGTTGTGCACAAGAGAAAAAAACATTGTAATAGTTATTTTTAATCATTATTTTCTTCCAGCATTTCATAGTTAGAATATGAGATTTATACTAGTTATTTTTTCTCTCTTTTGATTCTTGACAACAGTTATTTTTTGTAATCATAAACATTCACAGGAGAAGATCAGTGAGATTGAAAGTAGTGGAAATGTGACTTCATCACTTGCACCTAATAATTCTCTTGGCCAAGTGTTTGGCAAGGAACATCCGGGACAAGTTCAAGGCGTGGGATATGGTGTTTATCCTTCTCAAGTTTTTGGATATAGTTATAAATGGCAAAATGTGAGTGGTTGTAGTAGTTCAAGTGGCGAGTCATCTACTGATACTTGTTTGCATCAAGAAGTTGACCACCTAAAATTACAATTACAACAAGAGGTCCAGAAGAGAAAATCAATTGAAGTCATGCTTGCTAAACTATATCAAAATATGTCTATTACCTACTGCTGAATACTGTTATTAATGATCAAGTAAGTTACCATTTTTTTAATAAACATCTTATAATTTTTTAATGCATTTACTAAAAATGTTATTCATTTGGTTATAATGCAGTCAGCGGAGTTAAATCCTTGTCACCAACCTTCTTCATATTCTGCAACTCACAAGCCCTAATAGATTACCTAGGTTTAAACTTTTGTAATTTTGTTGGTACTTTGAAACCATTTTTCTTTAATTTGTAAAGTTACTGAAGTTTAAACATTTGTAGTTTTATTGATATTTGATTCCATTTATGTCAAATTTGTGAAGCACATTTACTTTGTTTTATCATGTATTTGGATCAATTAATTTTTAATGCAACGACACTTTAAATTGTTATCAATATTTGTGTTTACTTTGGATTTCACTTAATTATGTATGAATTTGATGATAATAGAATTGCGGTTTAAATGTTTGATCAATCAATAGTATGTTTTGTGTAATGATATAAATAATAACAATGTAAAATAACAGCAAATAATTTTCCAAAACAAAATATACAGCAAATATTCATACGAAAATGGTGCTGAAATGTTTTTAAATTATTAAGGTTTAGCTTATTTTAACAATTTTAGCATAATTATTAACAATTTATTAAATTAACTTATTTTAACGTCGGTTATACAGATATAGTGTCAGTTGTATATTTAACATCGGTTATTCCATTAGTTGTGTGAAATCGATTTTGAATTATTTAATGGCGTAAATTTCTACGTCAGTTCTTAAAAAACCAGAGAAATTCTTTGCGGTGGTTCAAACCACTACAAAGATTAAAAAACACCGTCGCTAAAATTAGTTTTTACTGTAGTGACATTTAAATTAATTATAATTATAGTTTATACAAAAGAAAAGTCTACAGTTTATAAAGTTAAATTGGATTAGCTAAATTATAAAGGGAAAAATGTTTCTGCAGTTACTGCACATAAGTTATCTACATTTATTTTTAAAACGATGTCATTTTGGTATTGAAATATTAAAAATTATAAATATAAAGACTATTATAACCCTGAAATAAATTAAAATTATAAAAATATCATGATTTCCGCCCAAAACGACGTAGTATTGGACTTACTGCAGATAACTTATCTGCAGTAACTACAAAAAAAACGAACTCAATTATAAATTATTAACATGTGCTCGCATCTAATTTATAATAAAATCAATATATATATATATATATATATATATATATATATATATATATCGCACCTTAATTGAATAAGTCACCTATTCCCATTATGTAAGAAATTGCATTCGTAGCCTTTTTTATGGTTTTATTATTTCTGATTATGTAAAAGATAAATTTATTTACTATACATACATAAAATATACGAGACTTATATATTTCTTTTCTTTTCACATAGATCAGCATCAGCTTCATATATTTTTATATGTATATGAGATAAATTTATCTCCTATAACGTAATAAATAATATATCTTTTTCTATATGCACTTTCTCACATTCTAAATAAATTACCATGTAAAATTGAAATAAAAAAGGTTTTGATATGATTTGGCCTAATCGGCACAAGTTTATCCGCATTTAAAGCTCGTCGTCTCACCAACCCACAAATCACAATTAAAAAATAAAAGAATAAAAAACTCATTAAATTGATAACTTTTTTCTTCCAAATTCATTTTATGTTTTTATTTAATCATGCAAAGAACTAACTTATATTTTTATGAGATAATACGAATAAGAGATAAGACCAGAGAAAATCATAATACATATAATTACTTTAATTATATATGTTTTTAAAAAGTTTTTTTTTAAATTAAAAAATTTAAGTGAGGTTAGACATCGCTCACTAACAAAGTCCTCACATGTCAACCGATTTGAACCCATGCCCTTGTCAGATATGAACCAAACCCTTAGTTAATTATGCCACATTTATTGGCTTTAATTTTATTTTGTATTCTAAAATAAACACTCATCCCATGTTGTATCATGTTATCTTCTAGTATGGGCTACAGTAATGGGAATAGTAATTTATGGTCCATTGACGTGCCATTAAACTGGTCCGAGATCGACCCATGATGCAGTAGAATCTGAACGGTTTCCAAAGGTATTCCCAACCTCAAGTTAAAAAGTGTATTAATTTTGACAAAAATAAGAATAAAAATTGTGATGAGGGTTAGCTTAGTGGTAAAGGAGATGAATAGCTCTCTTAGGTGGTGCGTTGTAGTCCTTCTTTTTGTATAAAAAAAGAGAGTAAATAGTCTCTCGAGTTTCTAACAAAAAATACGGTCTCCTACTTTAGTTTCTTATAAAAAAGAATTAGGGTTCACTTTGAATTTCATAAAAACCAAACTACTAAATTTTTTTTAGTAAAAACTAAAGTGAGGACCGTATTTTTTGTTAGAAACCTAAAAGATATTTATTCTAAAAAAAATGTATTAATTGTAAAGAATCAAACTTTAAGGGTCGATATTGTAAGTATAGAACTTGTGACCTATGTTCACTAAAATTCTAATATCATATAAAAAAATTATTTTATCATATAAAAAATTATTTTCAACCCAAAAAAAATTAGAGTGTTGGATGATTTTTTTTTTTAATAATTTGTATTAGTCTCTTGACATTAATTACTTTTATTGTCCTGCTTTTGATGGTAATCATAACTTGTTAGTTATTTAACTCCAAAAAAAAAAAGAACTCGTTAGTTATGCAATGTGTTTGACCGAAGATAGGTAGATAACTTGTTTTGGAATGGATACAGATTTTGTTCATGTGGACCTACAAGGAAAGTTATAGGTGCAGTAATCAAAGACGAGATGTTTTGGGAAGTCAACACAAAACAAGGTCTGCTATCTGCTGTGCTGTTCACGTGGTGGGAGGATGGATATCATAAAAGGAATTCAGAAATCGTGAAACATTGCCATCAATCACTCTTCTTTCTCTCTATCTCTAAAGTCAAACTGGGAAACCAAACCATTAGCCATAAGCCATGTCTGATGATGTTGTTCATGTGGCTCTGTTGCCAAGCGCCGGAATGGGTCATCTCACACCATTCCTGAGGCTAGCTGCTATGCTTCTCCATCACCATTGCAAAGTCACTCTCATCACTCCTCACCCCACTGTCTCTCACGCCGAATCACAACTCTTGTCTCGCTTCCAATCTTCTTTCCCTCAAGTCAACCAAATCCAATTTCATCTTGAACCACTTTCATCTTCAACACCCAACAACTCTTCTGCTGACCCTTTTTTCCTCAGAGTCCATGCCATTCGTGACTCTGCACACCTTCTCTCCCCCCTCCTTTCTTCGCTTTCACCTCCTCTATCATCTTTTGTCTCTGATGTCTTTTTGATTTCCTCTCTCCTTCCAATCACTGATGCCCTTTCTCTCCCCAACTACCTCTTGTTCACTTCTTCTGCTGCCATGTTCTCCTTCTTCTCACACTTCCACACTCTTTCTGCTTCCTTACCTGGACTTGATGTTGTTGACATTCCAGGGATTTCACCTATACCCACATCATCTATCCCTCCCGTGCTTCTCCAACCTGACACCCTCTTTCGAAACTTTTTCATGGAAGACAGTCCTAAGGTCACAAAGTTCCATGGGGTTTTAGTCAACACCTTTGTAGCACTTGAACCCCAGTCACTGGAGGCTCTTAATGCTGGAAAAGTGGTGAGAGGAATGCCGCCAGTTTATGCCATTGGTCCTTTTGTGCCTTGTGAGTTTGAGAAGGTGGGTCAACTGGGTGCACCGTTGAAGTGGCTTGATGATCAGCCTAATGGTTCCGTGGTGTATGTTGGGTTTGGAAGCAGGACAGCCATGGGAAGGGACCAAATAAGAGAGATTGGAGATGGGTTGGTGAGGAGTGGATGTAGGTTTTTGTGGGTGGTGAAGGATAAGATTGTTGATAGGGAAGAAGAAGTGGGGTTGGATGAGGTATTGGGGGTTGAGCTTGTGGAGAGGTTGAGGGAGAAGGGTTTGGTGATGAAAGAATGGGTGGACCAAAGTGAGATTCTTGGTCATAGAGCTGTGGGAGGGTTTGTGAGTCATTGTGGGTGGAACTCATTGATGGAGGCAGCTTGGTATGGTGTGCCAATTCTGGCTTGGCCTCAGCATGGTGATCAAAAGATAAATGCAGATGTGGTGGAGATGAATGGGTTGGGGATATGGAACAAGAATTGGGGTTGGGGTGGAGAACGTGTGGTGAAAGGGGAGGAAATTGGAGAGGCCATAAAGGAGATGATGAAGAATGAATATCTTAAAGTCAAGGCAGCACAACTTAAAGAGGTAGGAAGGAAGGCCATGAGTGTTGGTGGGGATTGTGAGGTTACCCTTCAGAAACTAATGGAAGAGTTGAAGAAGAATATTAACAACGTTTGAGGGTGAATGATTTGGAACTTTGGTCATGTACTTCATATCATTGCAGGTGGGTAATTATTTTTCAATTACTAGGACTCTAGGAAGCACATGTTTCCTATAGAAAGTTTCCTTTGTATTGCAGTTCCTGGGGATTCCATTTGCATAGATATGGAATACTTGGCATATCACTAGAAAATAATAAAGATGAAGCCTTTGTGTGTGTTGTTTTTCTTACCCTTTTTCCCAAATTCCCAAGTCAAGCACTGCTATTTTTCTAAATAGCTGGTAGTTTTCTGCATAGTCAAAGATTTTAGTGTTCCTTCTTCAACCCACTTGTAAGTTGAAGTCATTTGGATCAACTTACTAATTTCATCAACACCAACCTCAGGTGTTTGTTTCTTTTTTAATTATTATATGAGTGGCAGTTTCCAAAGCTTGTGATACCCCAGATGTCATGAAACTTGCTAAGTGCAGATGCTAAAGGCATTAACGTTGCATTTGGATGAGGAGAGAAAATCAAAATAGAGGGAAAATGAACAAAGAAAATGAAGAGTGTATGAGCTATTGTCAGAAAATGTACTAAAAATAGAGTTTATGTTGCTTTGACACTTGAATTATTAAATTCCAAACAAACAATTTCAAGAATACTAAGGCGATTTCATTGCTCTTAAAATGTACCATTGTGCATCACTTTCTGTGTTCTGACGTGGATGGTGTAACCCTATCATGAACTATCTTTATGGCTCTTGAATATGTAGATTAAATTTCCAAGTCTACATGTATTAGAGCAGGCTAGTGGGCTACTAAAACTGAAAAATAAAAATAAAAATAAAAATAAAAATAAAAATAAAAAACCACTCCTTATACACATTCGTCTGTTGCTCGAGCATCACCAACGGTAGCAGAAGCTGATCTTTTGTATCATTCATCATTATATTAAGGATTATGAAAATTCGGGGCAAGCGCTAACGAAAATTCGGATAAAAATAAAAGATGTACTATTAAGGAGAATGTCAATTTAAATTATCACAAAGGAAGGATGTAAATGTTTTAGATAGTAGCAAAATTTAACAGATTTTTCGTGCATTACCTTAAGGAATTTTATATTCTTATATGAAAAGCAATATTTTAAAGCTTGATTAAACTTTCAGCAGCAATAGGAACATACGAAATGTCAAAACTTGAGTAAATCACCGAATGAGCAACATTACTCAGTGAAAAGGAAGGAAGAAAAGTGTGCGAATAGATTGATGAATTTGATGTTCCATTGAAAGCGTTATTATCCAACTCAAAATCCAGCTATGGAAATGGGGAAAGGCAAGCCTATGAATAACAGTCATATCTTGGAAAAGAAATTCATATGCAAAATCAATTGAAGTTCATAGTTTATGTCAGAATAAAATCAAACCCAAATCCTAAATTCAACACTCGAATTTTATCTAGTCTTTTTATACGTTATCTTTCATGAGAAGAAGAAGGAAAGAAAAGGTTATTTTTCTTATTTTATTTTGTTATTATAAAAAACGTGTACTTTTTTTTTTTTGAATAAACAAGTATAAGATTATTTTTCAAGTTTTAAAAGACAATATCTAATGTTAATCAATCTATTTTGTGTGTCATTCTTATCATTAATCAATCTAATTTGTAATGTAACGTAGATGATGTGGCAAGGATAAAGAAGAAAAATAGTACATACAGAGAGGTTTTTTTTTTTATTTTCTCGTAAATATTTTCTACATTATATGTATATATATATATGGGATATGTTATTCTACCTATCATTTTTTCTACTTACCTTTGCCTACCATCCTCCAACATCGTTAGATCTTAAGAAGAGAGAAAGATAAATATTAGTTAAGATTCTGATCTAATGGTGTTTCATAGTAGTAGGCAAAGGTAAGTAGAAAAAATGTTAGGTAGAATAACCTATCTATATATATATAGAGAGAGAGAAATATTTTTCTTATGTTGTAGGAAAATAGTTACCTCATGTTGTATAAAATTACAAGTGAGACCCACAGATAAGAGGAGAAAGAAAAAAGAGTAGTGAGATCCAATCATTTTTTGTGTGTGTAGAAAAATTGTTTATCTCATCTAAAATGAGATAAAGATAACCCATATATATATATATATATAGAGAAAAAAGTATCTAATGTTACTTTAGACAACTTTGTCTAATGTTCATCGAAACGACATCGTTTTGGAGTTGAAAAATTAAAAAATTAGAATGATAAAGACTATTATAACCTTGAAATAAATTAAAATTACAAAAACACCATGAGTTCCGCCCCAAAACGACGTCGTTTCGATGAACATTAGATAAAGTTATCTAAAGTAACTTTAGAAAAAACAAACCCATATATATATATATTAACTAAATGAAACATGCTGCTGAGTGAAAATGAGGGGGAAAAGGGTGAAAGCGAGGAAGAAATTAATATATGAATAAGATAAATTATATAGATGAGATTGCAGGAGTAGCAAGAGCACAAGCAGATGAAAGATGAAGGAGTGAAGTGCTCAAAGCAAGAGAGAAGGCAAATATAATTAGAACAACAGGGAAGCTTGCAGGGGCATGCTCTTGCTTCTAACAACACCAATTATATATATTTGTAATTAATATCACTGAGTTTGTGCAACAAACTGGAATCTGTAAATATTTATTTCATAGTTCTATGATTTCTATCTATACTGCTCTCTGTATTCCTTTGTAGTCTGGTAATTTTTCTTTCTTTCTACACAAAGAAAATAAAGAAAGAAAGAAACTTTTGGCGTACATTAGTTACAGTTGCTTCAAGTTTAGGTTTTGGTACAATTAGCACACTAGATTCCAGGAAAGTACAAATTAATTAAACACTTTACCCAGAAAACGAAGATTTAATTAGAGAACTGGTATTTTTATAATACTTCAATCATTTCAAAATATTATTAGTTTTTTTAACATAGTAGTAGTCGTGATGGTGGACTTGTACCGGTGCAGATAATCCGAAGGCTTGTAATCATAATGACCAATACACTTTTGATGGAGTGTATTTTGGGTGCTACCGTGTTATGTACATCCCTTCCCCATTTAGAAAATAATATGGGTATAAAGGAAATTAAATAAAAAATACACAATACATATGATATTAAAAAAAAATTATTTTGAAAAAATAAGGTACTGAATCGTGTGACCGTGGTATTCAAAACCTTTTCCTTTTGATAATCGAGTTTTCCGTACTGACCAGCTGCATCTGGAAGATTTTTTGTAGGTAAATCTTTAGTATTATTACTGTATTTAGATTCAATACATCTCATGAATGAGAGACACATTAGAGGAGAGAGAGAAAATTTGACAAAAAAAAATATTTTAACTGACTTATAATATTTTCATTCATGAAATGCACTGAATCTTTAGTACAATAGTAATACCAAAAATTTATTCCTTTCCAACATCAGCCACCTTGGCTTTGTCCACCTTGTCAGATTCATTACTAAAAGTGGATTGTCCCTCGTTGAGTGTTGCTCTTCCTTATCAGGTTTGTTGTGCGATTCAGAAGCCATTATTGTTTCTTTTGTTTTTTATTAACTTGGGAGGAGGTTATGCAATAAGGGTGGTATGATAGATAAGGTTTGATAGTATAAATTTATATTATATGTTATGATATTTTTAATTATTTGATGTAATTATTGTATAGTATAAGCTTATACAGCAGGATCTATTTATACATTAAAATGATATATAACTTAATCAGGCCTAGGAGGGTAGATTAGGCCTGATAAGAGGTTAATGTATTAACCAATACAATTATCAAGAATTAATATATTATTTCAATATTAGTATATTAAAATAAAAAATAATTTTTCAATATATAATTTTTAAAATATTAAAGATTTTTATTTTTGTATAAAGTAAAGTATATTTTGCACACGCTAATCAACATATTTCTATAAAAAAATAATATCATCTGATATATTTGGAAGAATAATGTAAATTCATTATTAAAAGGTATTTTTGACAAAAATATTTTTTTTAACCTATCTAGTATTATACAGTGTATTACTAAATATTGAATGATATTACTCATATAATATATTATCTTATACTATATCATGTCAAGCGCTGGATAATATTAAAATTTAATCAGGTCTTATACAATTATGCCTTATACTATCAGGTCTTATACTATCAGACCTTTTCCTATACTATGTACTGAAGATGGTTATACTTATTTATAACATAATATGGGGGAGATTTTGCAAAATAAATATCTATAAGGGGTCGTTTGGTAGATGAGATATTTATTTTTTACCTGAACAAAAATATTTTTGGAAAAATGGTAGGGAATTTTTTTCCTGGGTATGTTACGAAAAGGTGTTTGGTAAGCGAAAATATTCTCGAGAATATTGGTTGATTTTTCATTTTGCTACGTTTGGTTGATAGTAAAATTAAGATGGGATTTTGGACTGGATTTACAAATCTACCTTTGATTTGAAATATCCAGCCTCTTTTTTACATCTCATTACAACGTTCATTTCCCACTCAGTTCTGTCTCTCTCTACCCGTCACATTTTCAACATCGTTTATTTATGTAGCCTTTGTTTGCCCTAAGGTCTCTCTCTCTATCCAAGATTCAACCTCGTTCTATGCTTTGCAAGGTAATTTTGTCTTTCTGGTAAACTAATTTTTGTGTAGCCCCGATTTTAAAGTAGTATTTTCCTGTAACCTAATTTTGTTTTTTGTTTTCGTTTTTCCTTTCGGCGTCAGGTTAAGGTTGTAGTCGTAGTTGCAGTTTTTGCAATTGGTCGATGTTGCAAAGGAGAGAAGGATGTCGATGCTATAGTTGTTGATCTTTTTCTCCTTGGACAAATAAGGGTTCCTCATTTTGCTGTTTGTCTCCTTGAACAATACTCTTCTTCCATCGTCTCCTTGAACAATAGTGTTGTTCCATCGAACTTCACCACAATCTCCACAGTAGTAATTTGTCTCTCTGGTATCCCTCCACAAATCTCCCATGTTATAATAATTATCATTGTTAATGTGTTAGGTTTTTTTTAGAGTATTTTTTTTAAACACCATAACATGTTGGTTTTATACTATTTACTGTCTGTCTTTGTCTCACACAAACCATTAACGATGTCATGAAGTTTTTGCAAAGGACAACTGTAATCAAAGGTAGAATGGGTGGAGAAAGGTGTGAAAGTGTA